CTCGAAGCGCTGCAACCTGTGTTTGGGCAGAAGCTAGAGATTGCCTGGGCCGACAAGACCCGATCCCTCAACAAGAGGTCAGAGCTTGTGTCCAAGTGCCGTCATGAAAACAAGTTCTACCGCCGTAACTTTGTCCGCAAGGTTGCGTGAATCTAGCTCGTTGTCCCGCTGCCTATTTTGTGTGTGTGTTGTGTGTGTGTGTGTGTGTGTGTGTGTGTGTGTGTGTGTGTGTGTGTGTGTGTGCGTGCGTGTGTGTGAATGGAAAAAGAAAAATAGGGATTCACTGGCCAGAAAAGTCACTTCAAGCCGCTGTGTGGTGGATACCAGGCTAAAAATAGTGGCGGTCAATCAATTCATCAGTCTTGCAAGCGGTTGAATGGTGTAATCCCAGCACAAGTTGCTATGTCTAACATAGCTGTTCGCTATCATCGCTTCCGCGATGGGCAGGTCTGAGGTCTGAGGTGTGTGAATGAGTGCGCGCGTGAGTGTGTGTGTTTGTGTTTGTGTGCATCCATGAGAAAGAGAGTGCGTGTGGGTGATTGGATAAGTGCGGGTGTAAGTATGTATGTCTTAGGTGTGAGAATGAACGGATGAGTATTGTGGGCGTACGCGCGCGCGCGTGTGTGTGTGTGTGTGTGTGTGTGTGAGAGAGAGAGAGAGAGAATGTGTGTGTGAGATTTGGGGAATGAGTGTGTGTGTGGGTACATGGTGTGTGAGATTTAGAGAATGCATGTGTGCGTGCGTGCGTGTGTGTGTGTGTGTGTGTGAGAGAGAGAGAGAGAGAGAGAGAGAGAGAGAGATATTTAGATAATGTGTGTATGTGTGTGTGGGTGTGTGTGTGCGTGTGCGAGTATATATGTATGTGAGAAAAGGGAGAGAGTGTGGGTGTAGGTGTGTGTAATGGTGTGGGCATGTGTGGATTTGGCATTTAAGTCCCCAGCTCTATTCTATATCATTCGCGCCGGAGCTGCTGCTGCATAGCCCCAAGTCTGAAGACTTGGCAACTTCACGCCTGCACCTGACTCTTGCGCTATGATACGCGTCGCCTATGATACCCCTCAGAATTTCCCACCTTGCTCCCCCTTATGTTCTGTCTGTCCGTTTTGGATCCATCAGTTGTCTGATGATGTTAGTAATACGTGAAACTCAGAGTTGTAACAAATCTTCCAATTTCTCTCTTTTGTAACATACATGTACATGTATTTTCATTGATCATTTCCTAATGTCCGCTTCAATTATACTATTTATCGCCTTAATCAAGTTATCATCAGGCAACCTTGCCTGATGATAGTGAAAGCATGAAACTTTAAAAGGTGGCATATCACCCAAAAATTTCATATGGCATTCAATTGACCGTAACTTTGGTGTCTCTCAATGGATTTGAGTGAAATGTTGACCACACACTCCTGCCACTATGCTGGCCCTCTGAACTTGATTTAAAAGTTCATGCGCCTCATTGACAGGCTTTCCAGGCCGGAAAAACTCAAAATTCCGGCATAGTACCACGGTGTTCGAGCCAGCCGGAAGCCAAAAAAAGGCATTTACAATTTTTCACATTTTCGTCCCCATTCTGTCCGTGCGCGGGATCCAAACCTAAAACAAGTCCAGAAGCAGCCACGGGTGGTGGGGTAGGGCCCTCAACGTGGCCCTGGAATCTGTCACAACGGAACGAGTGGGCGTTCTCTCCCATGCCCATAGGGGTAGGACTAAAAGGACAAGCCCAACTCTTTTTGCAGTTTTCTGTCATAAAAAAATAAACGTCACAGGCTGCTCTTCGCAGGTGTCCGCGTCGGAGCGGTCCGGACGAGCGACCGCATCCCAGTGGGACACTTGTCCGTGGCCGTTGTACTGGAATCTGTGGCAGTGCCTCGCCATGCCAGGGGCTACACACACCCGGGTACCGGATAGACAAATCCCTGGTGTTGCTCCTTTTTTGTTCCTTTCTTTTTATTTGTTCTTGCTGAGAAAGTAACGTTGGTGCTTGGAAAGCTTTCTGTTCACTCCAGTGCCTTTCCTCTAGTAACATTGCTGGCTGATAATGATCATAGCTCGTGATGCCAATGGTGAAGAGAAGCTGGGTTTCTTGCCATTTGCAACTTCCTGGCTCTGAAAATGTAGCTTGAACTAATAAGAGCTTCAAGTTTGTTAGTTTTAGATTTAGATTTCGATGTGCCAAACCTATCGTTACGAGCTGCAGAGATGGGGAGCAAGGGAGGCGTTGGATTAATGCCAATAATGGTGTTTATGGCTCAGACAACGCCAGCAATTTCCAATTGTCAAGAGGAAATTGGAGCAGGCAGATGACAGATTATTTGAGCATTTATAGAGGAGTGGGTGGCTTGCTAAAAAGAATCGTCTCAGTACCTCATGGTTACTAGTATCTGATAAATGCCTCTTATTGCTAGTCTGCATTAGAGCATAGCAGAATTGATCATGTCACAAGTAGTGTCAAGACTTGATGTCCTACGATTATACTCAGATCATGTTGTAACTTCACGGGAATATTAGCTCTGCCATTGTTTGCTCTCCCGGAATTGCCAGCAGAAGTCACGCGCCTGTGCAAGGGACAATGCGTTTGCATTGCTTATGGATGCAAGCGGATGGAGTGTAGACCAGATGAGAAAAAGTGATCCGGATATTCAACTAGCTTGGACTGCCATTATATATTGGCCAGATGCCCTGGACTATCTGAACATTGCTCCAAACCAATCCACAGAAGCAATACCCACACAGGAAGTCAAATGATAAACCCATTCATCAGCTATCGAACCTGTCATCAAAACATTATGCAGTGCATGCCTACTACTGCTCAAACGAGATCAACGGATGCCACATGCCACACAGATACAACGTGGAGGCTCAGTATTTTCAAGAACCCAGTGCAGTCTAGACAACTAGAACAACGAGGCTTGCACCTTTTGTCCCTCGATTTGCTTGCCGTATTTAGGTCCTTGCAATTCTCCCAGGGATATGTACCACAGGATGAGATATATGAGGGATTCCTGCAGCATGATAGATCAATCGGTCTGTGTGTGTGTGTTTTTGTGTGTGTGTTTTTGTGTGTGTGTTTTTGTGTGTGTGTGTGTTTTTGTGTGTGTGTGTGTTTTTGTGTGTGTGTGTGTGTGTGTGTGTGTTTTTGTGTGTGTGTGTGTGTTTTTGTGTGTGCGTGTGTGTGTTTTTGTGTGTGTGTGTGTGTGTTTATGGTGGTACAGGACAATGTACGCCTCTTTGGTCGCTCACACATTATCCATTGCCGGCATCGGTTACACTTTATTATCAATATTATTTGTTATGACCTACGCTGGTCTGCACACCCACCCACTCTGCTTTAAAAGTTGAGACTCTCGTTTGCCATTTCATCCGCTAGTTTCACTCTCTGGGAATATCCCTCGGCTACATGTACATGTACGTGTATTAGATAATGTATACTTTACAATTATCCTTGTACGTGTCTATCTTCTATCTGTATATTATTATGCAGCACAGTGGCAGGCATAGAGAGAGAGAGACGTTTTAATAATGTCTCTGACGTGAATTCTTCACCACTACATTGTACGTGTAATCGAAATACATTGTACTTGTATGATCGAGCGTACAAGTGTGTGTGTGTGTGTGTGTGTGTGTGTGTGTGTGTGTGTGTGTGTGTGTGTGTGTGTGTGTGTGTGTGCATTTGCGTGCTTCTCTTGCGACGGGCGTATACATGGTGTGTGTGTGTGTGTGCATCCGTGAATGCCCCACGTATGGGTAAATATACAGTCATGTACGTGTTCTGTGCCATACAATTTCACTAACTGTATATGCAGCACAGTGCCAGGCATATAATATATATATAGAGAGAGAGAGAGGGAGAGAGACGTTTTACTAATGTGTCTGATGTGAATTCTTCACTACTACATATATACATGTACTTGTATGATCGAGCGTACGAGTGTGTGTGGGTGTGCACGTGTGTGGGTGGCGTGTGCACGTGAGTGTGTGTGGGTGTGCACGTGTGTGGGTGTGGGTGTGTGAATGTCCCACGCATAGGTAAATATACAGCCACGTGCGCGGTGCCACACAATTTCATTATTTGTAGAACAGCGGCTGGTAGAGAGATATATAGAGACAGACACAGGAAGACAGAAACAGAGGGATGCGCATAAAGAGTGACAGACAGAGACACAGACTCAGAGAGAAAGAGACACAGACAAACAGACAAAGACGAAGAGACAGACCATCGGACCCAGAAAGACAGAGACAGAACCCGGGGGACAAACATGAAGGAAAAAAGAGACAGACAGACACACAGACTGGAGGAAAAAGACGACAGACAGACACACAATCAGACACAGACAGATAAAGACCGAGACAGAACAGAGGGACGCACATAATGAATGACAAAGGGGAGAGACAGACACAAAGACTCAGGGAGACAGAGCCAGAGACAGAGGGTCCTTAGAGGGAAACAGAGGAAAAAAACTGAGAAAGGAGGAGGAAGATCGAGAAGGAAGAAAACACAGAGACAGAGAAAAAGAGACTGAGAGAGGGACAAAGAGAGACAGAAGAAGAGAAGCAAACGGAGAAACAGCGACCTAAGTACAGGGCCAAGAAGACAGACAAACGGAAAAAATACAGACAAACATAGGGAGACAAGCAGAGACAGACAGAGGCAGGGAAACAATGGAGAGTTACACAGACAAACACAGATAGGCAGACAGAAAGGCCGAGACGAAGATCAGAGAAACACATAGACAGAGAGAGAGAGAGAGAGAGAGAGAGAGAGAGAGAGAGAGAGAGAGAGAGAGAGAGAGAGAGAGAGAGAGAGAGAGAGAGAGAGAGAGAGAGAGAGGAGAAGAGAGAGAGAGAGAGAGAGAGAGACACACACACACACACACAGAGAGACACACAGAGAGACAGAGAGAGACAGAGAGAGAGAGACAGAACAGAGAGGGAGAGAAGAAAAAGAAGAGAGAGAGGGAGAGAGAGAGAGAGAGAGAGAGAGAGAGAGAGAGAGAGAAGAGAGAGAGAGAGAGAGAGAGAGAGAGAGAGAGAGAGAGAGAGAGAGAGAGAGAGAGAGAGAGAGAGAGAGAGAGAGAGAGAGAGAGAGAGAGAGAGAGAGAGAGAGAGGAGAGAGAGAGGGATAGAGAGAGAGAGAGAGAGAGAGAGAGAGAGAGAGAGAGAGAGAGAGAGAGAGAGAGAGAGAGAGAGAGAGAGAGAGAGAGAGAGAGAGAGAGAGAGAGAGAGAGAGAGAGAGAGAGAGAGAGAGAGAGAGAGAGAGAGAGAGAGAGAGAGAGAGAGAGAGAGAGAGAGAGAGAGAGAGAGAGAGAGAGAGAGAGAGAGAGAGAGAGAGAGAGAGAGAGAGAGAGAGAGAGAGAGAGAGAGAGAGAGAAGGAGAGAGAGAGAGAGGAGAGAGAGAGAGAAGAGAGAGAGAAAGAGAGAGAGAGAGAGAGAGAGAGAGAGAGAGAGAGAGAGAGAGAGAGAGAGAGAAAGGACACACAAACACACACATGCACAGAAACAGAGAAAGAAAACTGAGAAAGAGAGAGACAGAAGAAGAGGGGAAAAACAGATAGAGAATAAAAGATAGAGAGAGAGAAAAGAGACCGAGTGAGGGACAAAGAGAGACACACAGAGAAAGTCTGAAGAAGAGAAGCAGACAGAGAAACGGAGACAGACAGATGGAGACAGAAATACAGAGACCGGTAGACAGGTAGACAGATGAACAGACAGACAGATAGGGACAGGCACACAGACAGAACGAGATAGGCAGACTGCTAGAGAATGACAAAGACAGGCATACAGACAAACCCAGACACAGACAGAGACACATAGACAGAGACAGAGAGGGGCAGACAGATAGATAGATAGCGAGATTAATAGAATAGAGAGACAGACAGACAGAGAAACATGTTGAGACACACAGATACGAGAGATTTCGTTCGTTGCATTTCTAATACTGAACCGTCTGCTAGCGCGACTCGACATATCAAAGGCGACTGGTCCTGACAGCATTTCAGCCCGGGTCCTGAAGAAGTGTGCCAAAGAACTTGCGAAGCCTTTGTCCCAGCTATTCGCCCTCTGTTTCAGGTGCGGAGTTCAACCAGAATCTTGGAAGACAGCTAACGTGGTGCCGATCCACAAACGGTCCTCGTGCTCTGTTCTGAAGAACTACCGCCCAGTATCGTTATTATGCATAATGTCCAAAGTAATGGAAACTATTGTCAATCGCCAACTGATGAACCATCTTGAGCGCCAGCAGCTCCTCGCTCCCCACCAGTTTGGGTTCCGTAGAGGTCTCGGCACGGCAGACGCACTACAGGCGCTTCATAACGCCTAGGTGGACATCGTTGGCCAAGGTCCCGCTGCACGAATTCTCGCAGTCGACATAGCCGGGGGCCTTTGACCGGGTCTCCCACGTGGGCCTCCTGTACAAGGTCCGGCAGCTCGGCATTAATGGCACTCTCCATAGCTGGCTATCGTCTTATCTTGACGGCCGTTCACTCCAGTGCTTAGTCGGTGGGCAGATTTCTTCTCTCTACCCAATCTCTGCAGGGGTGCCCCAGGGTAGTATCTTGGGCCCTACGCTGTTTTTAATATACGTGAATGACGCTGCCGATGTTCTTGATGGTAATGCTAAGCTTGAGGCCTACGCGGACGATACGACACTATACAGTCTAGTATCCTCAGCTCAGTGCCCTCGGGACGCTGCACACACCTTGCAGGTATCTACAAACCGCCTGCATGAGTGGGGTTGCCGGTGGAAAGTATCTTTCGAGCCCACCAAGTCACAGGCTATTACTGCGACCCTCCTACGCACTCACCTAGACCTACCCCAAATCCTGTTTGGTGGTACCCCTGTACCGGAGGAAACCAGCATATCACTGCATGGTTTTCGATTTGACTCCAAATTGTCCTTCGCTAGTCACCTCAGGACCGTGGCCATCCGCGCCCAGCAGCGCCTCGGCTTTCTCCGACGAGCGGCCCACATTCTAAGGCCACCTGGTCGAACGACCGTCTACACGGCATTCGTGAGACCCCTGATGGAGTATGCCCCGCTTGTGTGGATGGGCGCGCCAGCCAGCCACATCCAACGTCTGGATAATGTTCAACGCCGCGCACTGCGCATCATTGGCCCTGGTGCAATTCTCCCCAGTCTGGCTGTCCGCCGGACTGTTGCTGTTCTCTCGTGCATGTACAAATTGCATTTCATCACTGGTCCTCCTCAGCTACTTGCTGTATTGCCACCGCATCGCGTTTCTCCAGCCAACCCCAGAAACAGGAACGAGCACAATAATGCCACTAGCCACGCCTATCAACTGTCAGACACGCTCCCTGTCTCAGCTCCATCCGTCGTGAAGCGGTCGTTCCCGTACTGCTGTATTGACGCATGGAACTCCCTTCCTGACAGGCTGCTGTCGCAGTGCCCACACAAAAAACGTTTTCAGTCATTCAAGACAAAGGTCTACCGACACCTGAGAGACAACAACTGATACTGGGCAACAGATTCCCTGTAATGTTTCGAGCTCGTCGCTTGCCGGACCCGCTAATCCGCGTACCTGGCCTTGCTCAGAGTGCTCAGCTGTGTTTTGCATACATGAAAAAACCTTGTTATGATTCTTCTCTTTACTCTGTTTATTCTTTTACCAGGCGTGGCCATCCCCTGGACTATCAAAATGGGTGCCTTATTATTTTTCTGTTATTTAGCTTGTTTTCTTGACACTTCTTTGTGCGAGTTTCGTGTCAGATCTATTGAAAAAGTTCATAAGTTTTGGTTGACATGTACATGGTACATCAGTCCAACCACTGATAATTTACATTCTCTTTTCATCTTGTTTTTATTTTTCTAAACACCAACCGGTACCTTTACCCATTCTACTTCCCCATAGCTAGATCTAGCTTCGCTTTACATTGCTGCTTCTTTTTCCTGGTGCGTGCTTGTGGCATTGAAGTCGAGACCTTTGGTCGGTGGAGCCCCTGGTACCTCACCATCACTGCTGCCCAGTGCAGCCCTTGCTCAGTAGCTGTTTGTTTTTGTCCACATAATTATTTATTTTACTAGTTGGGCTTGTGAATAATAGTAAAAAAAGAAAAAAGTATCAGCAAAGAGGCGCACAGCGTCGTCGGAGGCATGTGGCTTGACAACAAGCACAGAGGTGCTCGCCCTTTATTTCGCCCTTTTTGGCCCTTTTTGGAAAAGCCCGTTTCTTTCGCCCTTTATTGCGTTTTTTGGTGAATATCGGCCCTTTTGGAGCTTTTTTAGCTGAAAAAGTGCTAAAATCTGTTTGCTCATGCATGCGATCACATTCACAGTTTCCGGGTGCTCGATGGGCCTTGGCACGCCGGTTTTGGGGGGGGGGGCAATAAGTATTAGTTAGTTGGTGAAGCTTGTACCCGGTGTACACAATGCTGCAAAAAGTGGGTTTTTTGAACTTTACTTCCTGTTTTGCCTTTCGTCGACCCATAAATGGAAGAGTGCGTATTCATTTCTCAGCTTGGGTTCATATCTGAACATGTATCATGGCTATGGTGCTCTTTTAATTCGCACTTACAGTCCATTCATAAAAAGATGGGCTCTGGTGAGCTCCCGTATTTGGCGATTTTTCGTGATTTCATTGTACACAGTGCAGTGCTGCAAGATTTGAAATTTGAAAAAGGGTCCAAAAAGGGTACCTGAATTGGGGTTTCGAACCACACAATGCTCTGTTGGCTGTTGCAGGCGGGGTCAAACGGCCTGGATTTTTATGGTGTTTCCCAATTCAGTGCATTTGGGGCAAAACCTGGCCAAAATCCTATTTTTGTTATGGCTTGCTTTTTGGACAAAAAACTTCAGAAACATATTGAAAGAGGATTCCATAGGGGATTGCAGAAAAAATTCTAAAAAAACTCAAAGTTTGACCCATTTATGACCAAAAGCTAGAAGTCCATCTTTTTCTGAATGGACTGTAGTGCTTTTCGCGTCCCTCAATATGCTGAAAAAGTGCTCTTTTTTCTGTGAAAACAGGCAAAAAGTGCTCTTTTTTCAGTGAAGCATAGCCATGATACATATTCAGATATGAACCCAAGCTGAGAAATGAATACGCAATCTTCTATTTATGGGTCCACGAAAGGCAAAAAAGGAAATAAAGTTCAAAAACCCCACTTTTTACAGCATTGTGTACACCGGGTACAAGCTTCACCAACTAACTAATACTTGTTGCCCCCCCCCCCTCCCCCAAAACCGGCGTGCCAAGGCCCATCGAGCACCCGGAAACTGTGATCGCATGCATGAGCAAACAGATTGTAGCACTTTTTTAGCTAAAAAGCTCAAAAAGGGCGATATTCACAAAGAAACGCAAGAAAAGGCGAAAGAAACGGGCTTTTCCAAAAAGGGCCAAAAAGAGCGAGCACCTTTGGGAAAGGGCTACCTCTGAGGCTCTGTCTCCAGATTGCAGCACTAGCAGTGAATCGCACCGGTGATCCATAATGGATTAAGGAGGTGCTGCATGATTGATTGTAGTGATCACGTGATGGCAGACTGCATGACGTGTAGACATTGTACGTGTGCAGTGGAGGAACTAAACACATACAAATGTAGCAGGGCTAGATAGGGGAAGTCCCTGGGACGCTGTGCCTGTGAGGCTGTGAGCTGACATGGACTAGAACTGTAAGACTTAGTACAGAATTCACATGTACATGACCACTGTACACTACTACTTGCAGGTTAGTTGTAGGTCTAGGTACTCAGTTGCAAGTGCCACGTGACAAGTGACAGTTAACCCTCATGCCACACAACAGAGACGAGCCTGTGGGGTGTCGCAAGCGTTTATTCCAACATGAATAATCATGAGCCTCTGATCGGTAATCAAGTATGACGTACATGTACTCAGTATGAGGTCATGATTATAAATGATGTACACATATCACACATCAGAGAGGCAAGGACAGCAGAAGCGACCCGCGGGGTCCTGCGCCGTCAGAACGGCTACGTGTACTACTAGGTTGCTATGGCAGCGGAACACTAAATCTTAGTAAACATGAATAGTTCAATGGTGCCGATGTGCGTGCACTATGCAGCGCCCATCGGCAGCAGCCGTGCCTCCAATAAAGGTACCGAATGGCTTGCGACACGCAGGCTCTAGTAGTGCTGTGGCATGCCTGCGGGCCTGAGAATGTACGTGCGATATGCCCTGCTGGACCAGCGGCCTGCAGCCATCAGGGCATACTCTGGTGCGCCTCGATCCGCCATGTGTGTGGCTCCCCCGGCGCGTAAGGAATGGCTGCTGATGCTTGGACCTAGCACTTTGTGTAGGACAGCATTGATGTCGTTCGGCGTGAGATGGCGACCATCCTGAAACTTGAATAGGGGTTGCTTGTCATTGCTCCATTTGCTGGACGGAACGTAAGCCTGCAGGGCTCGGACGGGACATAGTGCGGGGTCAGCATAGCGATGCAGCGCTACCTCCCCGCCTGTTGTTAATTGAGACGTCTTCGTCCTCTGGAGTCCTGCTGGGCTAACCGAAGGTGTTCGCGCCTCAGCGTCTTGAGGCTGCCGGGACCGTGTGGTGACAATGACGTGTACTCACTCACACGCAGCAGCAGCCGTGGAAGGCTGTCGTAAGAGCAGCCCATAGTATTAGTCTGTCTGCCAGGGAGTACAAGGACAGATTCAAGAACTGGCAGAGAGCCTTCAGCTGGTGGACGATGATCGTTTGTATTGAGGGCGTGTTGACGGCTGCCTGGGAAGCGACACTCTCTCCCTCTCTAAGCCCTTGAGCAGGGCTGTGATGCGGCTAGAGGATGTAACCCCGACCGCACCGCCCATGCGGAGGAGGTGGTATTTAATCGCGGTCAGGTAGACTCTCAGAGTGCTGGCGCTGACTGAGTGAGACATTGCGGCAGCGAACAGCAGGACGTCGTCCTAATCTGGGTGATGTGCGTCGCGCCGCATGCGACCAATGAACTGCAGGAATGACGCCAGCCTGGGGCGTACGTGCGCTGTGTGCCAGTAGCTATCGAGTTGGCAATCAGGTGCTCTGCTCTCGCTGAGAGAGCGGCGGCTAGCGAGCCTAGGAGGACACAGGCACAAGCGCATGCAAAACAAACGCACACACGCATACGCCCGGACATGCGCATGTTTCCTAAACAGGCAGGATGGTACGGCGGCCAAGCTGCGGTGTATGCGTGCTGCGCCGGGTCGCTGAACAGCGGCCCGCTTCCCGGAACACAGTGGCCCGGCGGCGTGGCTGCGGATTTTAAGCAGGGGACCCATGGGTTTTGCCAGTGGGAGATCTCCCCCCTGACCCCGTCGGGGCGTTCCTGTACTGGTTTGGCCGAGGTTTGCCCTCATCCTGTGGGGCTAATGCAAATACGACCCGAGAGCCCCCTCCCCCAGCCCCGCGGGGTGGGAGCCTCTGCTATTGGCCAAATCCATAGGTACTTAGCCTTGCGGGTGGACGCATGGGGGTGGCACGTAAGCGTTGGCTTGCGTAGCCCTGGCTTGCGGCGGTAAGCGATCCTCCGGCGGGAGATGGACATCCGGCGGGATGTTCTGCAAGCGGGGCTGGCGACCCTGGACAGACACACAGAACAACAGACAGCAGGCGGCGAAGCCTTGGTTTGGTGGAGCCGTAACTTGCAGCGGCAGTGTCTGTAAGCGATTCTCCGGCGGGAGTTATATGTTCGGCGGGATGTGATGCGAGCGGGGCTAGCGACCCTGGATAGACACACAGAACAATAGACAGCGGGCGGCGAGGCGTTAGGTCGCGGAGCCGTTGCTTGCGGCGGTGGTGTCTGTAGGCGATCCTCCGGCGGGAGGTGGACATCCGGCGGGATGTTATGCGCGCGGCTTGCGAGCCTGGATATACACGCAGAGCACAAGACAGCGAGCAGGTCAGGCTCGCGGAGCCGTGCCCCTAGTATACGGGCAAACATACAACCTGCTAGGTAGGCTTAACACCCTCTACAATTTGCCTCGGTAGCATGGCAACACGGTGCCTGGCCCATGTTATGTTTGAGCCATGCGGGCCATTCGTATCGCGTACATATGGAGCGCCCCCGAGTACAGCGGTCGCCGGTTTTGGGCATGCGGGGTGTCAGCCTCCATTCCTCCCAAAAAAGAAGAAGGGGGTTCTAAGGGGCCGGATAAGCCCATTAAGCACACAGTGTGGTAAGATAGACCATGAAGGGTTCGCCCCGGCGAGGGCATGGATAATCATTGACAGCGGAAATTGTAGATGGGTTAGTAGAGTAGGGGAAACAAAACAACAAGAAAAGAGCAGAGATGCCAGATGCTGGGCTGGGAGGACTACGGACGTACGGCGAGCCTGCGTAGGTGGCTGGGATTGCCGGGAGCTTGAATTGGCGGCTGGAGCGCCTGGCCAACTGCAGACGGATGCGACTATCTGTTGTCGGATTGGGCACTTGCGAGTGATGAAGGGGCAGTCTCCGTGCGGGAACCAGACGGCGGAAGCGCTGGAACTGGGCCCTGGAGTTCGTGTTTGGATGCTGATGACCGGATGGCCCAGGCTGCGAGGAGTTGCCGCAATGTACGGAGCTTCTCGGCTAGGAGCCGCAGCTCCCCTGCCGCTGAATCAATGTCGATGCCAAGCACTGTGAGGCAGGTGGCGGGGCCAACAACTTTGTCCGGGCCGTCTGCTGTTGTGACGCCCAGTTTTTGCGAAGACCTGCAGAAAATCGGCTTTGTGGGTCGTGGCCGCCGAGGACGTGACAGACTCGGCTGCTGGAGACACTGATACGAAGTCATCCAAATAGTGCTCCAGTGCAGGGATACTATAGTTATTACAGAGGATCCATTCTAGGGCGGTAGCCAGGCAGTTAAACAGACTGGGAGCGGAGCGTAGGCCAAATGGCAGGACAGTGTCGAAATAGTAGTTGCCATTCCACAACATGCCGAGGAGCGGCCAGTCGTCGGGGTGCACGGGGCAGAGGCGGAAAGCGTGCTTCAGGTCCACCTTTGACAGGAGGGCTCCGGGGCCCGTCCTGCGCACGTGGTCTGCTATCGTGTCAATCGTAATTAGAGAGAAACGGTGGGCCTTGCTTGTCAATGAACGAATTGATGCTGTTCCCATCGGGGGTGGACAGGTGCATGATGAGCCGGTGGCCGCCCGACTTCTTGGGGACCACATCTACGCCAGAGGTGCGCAGACGGACGAATGGCGGCGCGTTGAAGGGGCCAGGGGTGTGGCCGCGACTGCGTTACGTGGCAAGGTACTGGTTGACGACCTCGGGGTGTGCTGCCGTTGAAGACAAGTTCGGGCTGCGTACGGACACATCACGGAGTCCGGCGAACCCGATACGACAGCCGGCATGTAAATTGCTAACTAGAGAATGAACAAATGCAGGATTAGGGTGCGCCAGCAATTCAGTGTGTAATGCATCAATATTGATAGGGATGTTGGGGTGTAATGCAATGTTCATAGGTGTATTAGGGGGTGGATGAATGCAAGAAAGTGGTGTCGGGGCTGATTGCTGTTCGCTCTTATTTCTTGGCTGGACAGGCTGACACGGCGTGCGAGCCTGAGCAGAAGAGGCAGACGTGTCGAAAGCGACATGGGCCGCTGCAGGTGCCGTGATTGTAGCGGCGGCAGATTTCGGTTGATTTAGTGCTTGCACTCTCTTTCGCCTGGTTGCCGCGAAAGGCCGAGGTGTATGCTCCGGCCAAGTGCCCCACCTTCTTGTAAATGCTGCAATTGGGGAGGGCCTTTCATGTGAAACACGTCGCGAAAAGCTCCGTGTCGACCTCCGCCAGGGATCGGCTTGGGTCCTTTGACAGGGCCCGGCGTGCCGGCGTGTCATAGCCCACGACTGCCGAGAAGTAGTACTTCCCGGCTGCCTGTACCATGCGTATTCGATGCTGCATCAGTGCAGCGGCGCAGCGAGGTTGATCGCGGATGGCGATCAGGCTAAAAATAGACCATGCCTCGGTCCACGTGGCAAGGTTCTCAATTTTTCCTTTCGGTGCGCTTGTCACCGAAAGTGCCCCTTCCTCGTCTATGCGGAACCTCTTAGGGGCTGGCTCCCCGGTAGAAATAGATTTGGGCGGGAGCAGTATTGCCAGATCTATATGTTGGACTCAGTATAGAGCCCATGCACTATATGATGTCCAGTACCCTATATAGAGTCCATTGGTCCAAAATCCACTATACATAGTCCAGGAGTCCACTCAGTTTTGATCAGCTTCATCCTGCCGCGCAATCCCCTATAAGGAGTACACTTTTTCTACAAGTCCCCTATTCACGGTCCAGGAGTCCAGTTTATCCAGTCACGGTGTCCTGTATGTGTGTAGTGTAGTGCTCGAAAGAGAACAAACACCTTTTCAGTTTTGCTTTCAGTCGCGGCAGCGCATTCCTTTCTTCACTTCAGCCATGGTCGCCAGTTCTGCTTTGCAGTTACTGACAGTAATCTCTCTCGAGGTAACCAAGGAGGAAAAGGAGACGTTCAAAATCAAATCTAAGAAGCGTCTTGTGGTTCTCTGAAGACGTTTCATCAGTGCGCGAGAAAAGCAGAAATTGGAGAACGAGAAAAGTTCAACACAGATCAAATCTGACGAGTCAGGTACACTGACACTCCCTTTCGTTCGACGCCACAAGGATCCCCTGCTTGACTGGTCATGGCTACCAGTTCTGCTGTGCAGTTGCTGACAATAAGACGTTTGATCAATGCGCGAGATGAAAGCAGAAAGCGGAGAACGAGAAAAGTACAGCACACTTCCAATCTGACGAGTCGGATACACTGACACTCTCTTCCGTTCGACGCCACAAGGATATCCTGTTTGACTGGACAAGAGCTGCCTGTACCACCGTGTCAAAAGGCTGTCCAACTACATGGCAGGACGATGACTGAGGTAAGGAAGCTTTTACTCGTTTCGATTGGTCTGCTGTTCTGCCGTTATGCTTGAATTTTTTTCCATTTTCAAGGAGCGTATCGCGTCTGTTTGATGTTGCTTGAATGAATGCCCTAAAAGTAATCAACGACTTCGTAATAGTTGCGTCACAATAATAATTATCAGCCCTCAAGGAGTGCAAGGACTTTGCCTCAATCGTCTAGCTATCATCAAATTTATTTCATGAGAAATGTATTTTTATCCCTGTGATAATTATGTGAACTCCACAAAACTCTTCCTCTAGTATGATGTCAAATACAATGGGATCCACAAACGCAGTGCCAGTGCACTAGTAGTAATAGGAGGATTGCTTGTTTGCCAATGACAAGAAAAAGCTTCTCAAGATAATACTCGTATTCCATGAAGTAACCGTTTTGATGTTACAAACATGACATTGTGTCAGTGAAATTGCCCCGCAACAACAAATTGCATTTCCACCTTTGCGAAGACTGTTTGACTGACGGTAACGCTGTACCGATTGTTTAAATCATCTCGTTTCAATTTAGTTGCGGTGAAGTGAAACACTGTGGAGTACACTACATGTATGTTGGTGTGTCTGTGCGTTTTGAGTGTGCACAAACGATCTTATTCCTCGTATTACTAATAGATTATTGTCCCCACCGTCACCTGTTCACCGGTCTTTGAGTGGATGGATTTTCATTGAGCATCACATTCGGTGAGAACTTGGTAGTTGTGTGCTCCCATGCATCATTAAAATAAGTGTATCCGTGTGCTATCTATTTGTTGCGAGTGTGCTGATCTTCAGAAGCTTGTGCAACTGAGTGCTGCTGAACATTTTCATGGCCATGAGTAATATTGAAGCTTGCTATTGCACTCTCAGCATGTGCTAGTATTATGCTGACTACTGCACTATGTTACTCTCTTACACATGTACATGTATGTAAACGTGCGTGCACCCGTCCACGTCTGCATGCGTTTCGTATAATTATTTGTTATCCCTCTTTACTTTACTTGTAGATGGGTGGACGTTTGCATGGCTGTTGGAGTTGTGTGTGTATTGTGTCTCTACTCTTTTCTTGGTGTTTTCTTGGCTTTGTATGAATTTGTGTGTGTGTGTGTGCGAGCGCTCTTGCACGCGCGCACACACTAATTTGAAAACAACAAATTAATCCTTGGCTCTCCATCATACTATCATAGCCTATTCTCTTTTGATTTCGAAGTTTGGACTCTGTACAGTGGATTTTGGACCAATGGACTCTATATAGGGGCGAAGCCAATTGGCTGGACTCTATACAGGGAGTGATCTCCATCTAAACTCTGAGCTCACAGTTGATTCCAAGTTTGGACTCTGTACAGTGGATTTTGGACCAATGGACTCCATATAGGGGTTGGACATCATATAGGGGCTGGACGCTCTACTGAGTCCAACATATATACTCGATTCGTCTGATCCGATCGACTGTCTCCAACGAGACGTGCGAAATGCAGGAGGAGTAACCCATGTTCGTATGGTGCATGAATTCATCAGCACACACACCGTCTTCTTGGCGCTCTGTGACGTTCTCCAGTGCGTTGCCGCTGAGGGCTGCTGCCACGCTGGCTGCCACGATCTGCTGGATAGACTCCCTTTGTGCCTGCGAGAAAGCCAATGGTGGGTGTAAGACTATCGGTGAGAGCGGAGAAGAGACAATTTCAAACAATTTCTGCGGCGGGCAGGCACAACAAACAACTGGTGAATGTCTTTACTTGTTTCTGCCTTGCGAGGGTGGCCTTGGGTGAGCTTGCACCCAAGGCGGATAGGTGGCTTATACCGCATGCCGTACGCGCATCGCGGTTGCGAATGCTTGCGTGGGCCCCCCGCGGGAGCCCCGCAGTGCATACGATTTCCAAATGTTTCGGCTCAGCAACCCCTCTCCCCACGAGTACACTGTATCTCAGATGGCTGACCGTAGCACACTAAAAATACCTTACTACACCCCTGCATTAACAAACTGCTTCAAAACAAACAATGTTAGAAAGCAGACTGCACAATGCCCTTATAAGGCAGAGCTTGACACACGGTAGGGAGCACAGAAACTGTATTGTGACAGGCTGTATCACTGTTGCAGCGCGAGTTTGCTTTTGCAGCGCGAGTTTGCTTTTGCAGCTTTTCCATCTACGCAACCTACCGCACGCCTTAACCATCGTTGGCAGTTTATTGGTATTCAGCTTGTTCTTGTAGTAATCGCCATACCAATTTGTTTTGGGTGAAGCACGAATGTTTGCTAAACTCGGTTTTTCCAACAGGTGGCCGAACCCCTCCCCTCCCCCTCCATTTGCGCCGATAGCCTTGACAAATTGGTACCGTATTTTACTTGTTGTGTATTGCACGGTGTACTAAATCCAACCCATCATTACGACGGCCTGCCTTCATGAGAGAGCAGGGCACAGACAAGCAATGTCATGTGCAAGCATGTATTAGTAGTGGGCATGCAGCCCGGTGGTCGATACGTACGTGATTTAGCGTTACAGTGTCCAGTGTCGTCTCCCCTTATTATTATTAAGCCACGACCTCGGGTGTACTCGTATGCTACATACATGTACAGTTGCGCTTAACTGAAATCTGACCCAAAGTGCTAAGCTGGCTCAACCTCAACCTGCACCGGCTTTGGTTGCCTGGAAGTGGCACGAATGTGGCTGGACGTACACCTGCACCAGCCTTGGTTGCCTGGAAGTGGCACGAATGTGGCTGGACGTACACATGTAAAGATACAGTACATGTGCAGATGCAATGATGTAAACTGTGATAGGAACTGGTCCAGGCCGCCAGCTTTGTACTTTGGGTCGTATTTCAGTGAGCACAGCAACTATAGCATACTAGTAGGTTTTGTATGATGCAGTGCATGTTCTGTTTCAATTCCTTTCCCTATTGTTTCATCACTTTATTTCAACACGGCTTTCAGTGCTCCGTTTTGCGGAGACCAGCTCTCCTCCCCCCCCCCCCCCCCTCTCTGTTTGTTTCTGTATCGAGGGGCATTCAAGTCATGCAGTTATGTGATTACAGTGTAACATTCACGTTTCCTTGTAAAATGTGTTCAGATACGAAGTTTGACTGGTACACAGTTCCTGGGTTCCTGGGTACCTGGGTACCTGGGTAGGTCTACCTGGGCGAATTATCTGTCCAGTTGTACTAATCTTGTACATAGTCCAACCGCTATCTTCAAACAGAATTTTCTTTCAACGTTTCCTCGTTCCAGCATTGCCAGATTACTGAGCAGCCAGCGCATGGCTGTGAGCGTTGACACGTACACCCTTCGTTTCTTACCGTGTTGTGGAGTGACTTCACTGCACGGTGCACTTGACAATCCGTGTTCTGTGTACCATCATCATGATCATCTCATGTCCTCTCTTGAAGCTTGGTCTCTCTGGCTCTCCAACAGTCACAGAACTGACTGTATATCAGGAGTGGCAGCGGAACAAGCCCTGCAGTAGATCTGCAATAAACCCGAGGAACAAGCCCTGCAGTAGATCTGCAATAAACCCGAGGAACAAGCCCTGCAGTAGATCTGCAATAAACCCGAGGAACAAGCCCTGCAGTAGATCTGCAATAAACATGTGTTCTGGGTTCTTGCCATACACTACAGCAAAGGCAAACTGTCGCCACTAGAATGAAGTTCTAAAAAGCCACTGAAATATTCTGCTGCAGAAAAGAGAACATGAAACTCAATCCGTTCGCATTTCCAGGAAAGCATCGACTTTCACTGATACGGACACAATTGTATCGAAAATGCTCTATAAGGAATCGAAACTTGTAGTCTCGGCAAGTTTCTATCGACTCTCGATCTCGTATTTCGATTGTAGCGCAGACATACAATACGATTACCGGTATGTATCACGGACCCTACTAGTCTACTACTACATGATGTAGCACAGTAGCAGGTAAATGTAGTACTGGTCCTTGCGGGTGCGGACACGGGGAAATCCCTTGAATCCCCTGCACGTATCCCGCCCTCGCCCTGACTGACAAGTAACGCACGCGCACGTACAGTTCTGACAGGGCTAGCTCAGGGCCCGGTACGGCGGTAGGGGCATCAGATCGACCTCATGAATGAAGTAGCGCCACCGTTCGAGCGCAATGAACAGTGTGTGTGTGTGTGCGCGCGCGCGTGCGTGTGTGTTTGTGTGCGCGCGTGTGCATGTGTGTGTATGAAGTGCAGGGGCCATGTAACGAGGCCTGGCGCAAATATTCATGACGCCCAATTCTTTTTCCCTGGCATGGTTGTTGTCACTCTCTCCTTTGTAGCTTGGTATTATTTCACCCACTCCATATCTCTGCTGCTGCTGCTTTGGAGATGGTAAGTTTTTTATATACACGTACATGTAAGAAAGAACCAGTCAACCCGTGACCATCATAGCTATGTAGCAATACTGGCTAAGAACAAGCTTCACTTGACACAAGTGAAATCCGGGTAGCTACGTACACAATAGGAGTCTTTTCTGCGTTTATCCTGATAGCAATGAAATTGTTTTTCCAAAGCCAGAGGCCCGAGCGTACCTTGCCAGATTGCTCAGTGAGCTCTGAACAACGCAAACAGAAAATGCACTACCCCACATGAGAGTGCTCAAACTGACAAGTCAGTGAGCTCTGGATAACGCAAACAGAAAATGCACTACCCCACATGAGAGTGCTCAAACTGACAAGTCAGTGAGCTCTGGATAACGCAAACAGAAAATGCACTACCCCACATGAGAGTGCTCAAACTAACAAGTCAGTGAGCTCTGGATAACGCAAACAGAAAATGCACTACCCCACACGAGAGTGCTGAACTGCTACAAGAGCAGGAGCGAAATACTCCAATTCTACTACAATTATTATTACTACTAGCTACATTGAAGATAGGATGAGAACTATACGATGTCATGATAATGTGTACTATCAATACAAAACTATCAACTACAGCATACATGCCATACATGATAATGTGTACTATCAATACAAAACTATCAACTGCAGCATACATGCCATACATGATAATGTGTACTATCAATACAAAACTATCAACTCCAGCATACATGCCATACATGATAATGTGTACTATCAATACAAAACTATCAACTGCAGCATACATGCTATATATGATAATGTGTACTATCAATACAAAACTATCAACTGCAGCATACATGCCATACATGATAATGTGTACTATCAATACAAAACTATCAACTGCAGCATACATGCCATACATGATAATGTGTACTATCAATACAAAACTATCAACTGCAGCATACATGCCATACATGATAATGTGTACTATCAATACAAAACTATCAACTGCAGCATACATGCCATACATGATAATGTGTACTATCAATACAAAACTATCAACTGCAGCATACATGCCATACATGATAATGTGTACTATCAATACAAAACTATCAACTGCAGCATACATGCTATACATGCAGTGTGTAACACTGTAATGAATAAACACAAATGCGCACCCTGCAGCTGGATCAGATAACTCACAACGAATGCACAGAGCCTGCACATGATTGCCATTTTTGTACTGACATAAGACAAAGATGATAAATCATGACATCATGACACCGTAACATCATGACATCACAGAGCCCGCAGACACCACGCATGCATAGTATATGTGTGGTTCAAACTAGGGCTCAAACGGTTAGTCCGGTTAACCGGTTGCAGACCGGTTACGAAGAATTGACGGTAAAGATAACGGTTACGCAGTAACTTTTCAGTCAATTTTTCAAGTATCAGGTCGTTGCAAAGTGTGCACTTTCGCGGGCTGTCGCACGCGTACACAATTTCTGGGCTGTCAACTCGGTCATATCTGGTCTCTTGGTGTGAGACTCAGAGTATGTATGAATGAGCATGCAAGAGAATGTACAAGTGTGCGCTGTACTGAATAGGGTACATTTTCGGAATGAGTATAGTCAAATATACGTTTAAAAAAGAGTCCGCAAGATTGCCGTGGCTTATAAGTTATAACCGGTTAACCGACCGTTAGCTTAGCAGTTAACCATCAGGGGTAAAACCGTGACCGTTTGAGCCCTAGTTCAAACAGAAAGATAAATTCTCTTCTTATAATGAAAGCGAAAAGGAATGAATTCGCCGACAGTCATTTACTATGGCATTGCATTATGTTTCAGGATTAATATCAAATCGAAATCAGCTCATCAAACCTCAGCTTTGCATCTCTCAACAACATTGCTGCACCGGCGGCTGAATATCCATTCCAGCGGTTACAGAAGACACATCAATGAAAATGCATTGTGACGCCGATTACTCAAGATGCGCTGTAACCGTCACTGAAGTCTTGTGTTTCCATAGTTACTGGAGAATCTTGAAGAAGTACTCAACCTAGGGGAATGAATTTAGTAGAGGAAAATATGAAACCCACGATCACAGGACGCACACACAAACACACATGCACGAACACACCCATACACACACACATACACATGCACCCACATACGTGCGTGTGTGCACCCACACACACGCACAAACACACACACACACACACACACACACACACAAGAGCACACACAAACAATGTCTACCAATGCACTCCAGGGCACTTTGCACATTTCATTCCTTCGTTATCTTAGCTCTCTTTCTGAACTCTCCTTACAGTCACAACTGCTGCTTGGAGTGTGAGTCGGAGAGCAGCGAAAGAAGCAGTTGTACAAGAGCAATGACAAAATGGTGCTCAGATCTACGACCATGAGATTAAGACAAGCATGCTCTACCGAGTGTGGAACAGGAACAATTCCATTCTCGACGGGAAGGAGAGTTCAGACAGAATACCATAAGAGAGATTGTGTGAGAAATGCAGATGCGACTTTCGTATATACAGGCACATCTGAACATTGCAGCATTCTCAGGGGTAGACCCACACCACAGACAAAGGGTTTGTCGAGATAGGCAGACAAGATATCGAAAGGAGGTATGGGAATAGGATATATGTCCTGTTCCTAAACGTTCCTCAATGACATTCGCTATGAACTCCAAGATTAGCGTGAGAATGAGACCAGACCAGAATAGGACCAAAACCGGAGTGAGACCAAAACCGGAATAAGACCAAAACCAGAATAAGACCAAAACCAGAATGAGACCAGACCAGAATAAGGTTGTATTTGTTCGGTCATTCCGGAATGAGCATGGAATGCAGTCGATGCCCATCGCGGAGTCGGAATGAGAGTAGCAAACAAACACGCGTGCATGCACTCGGGAATCTGGCAAATGTTTTGCGAGACTCCGCAAACGGCGGTCCAATGTTTTGTTTTTGAGATCTACGAGTTGTTTTTTGCAGCCTTGCAAAGATAAGCTGGTAGCCTAAGAATGTTGTGGTTGCTATCTTGCTTCCGCACGTTTCCAGTTCTGCATGCCCCTCCGACGATAATGGTGAAGGAGCGGCCAAACTCGGCATAGGCCTAGAAGCTCCACTGGGGTACACGCCTGTACGCGACGTTTGGCCGCTACTTCATCATGACTATTCTGTATTCGACCTCGTATCAGTCACAGAAACGGTTCTAGCTCTTCACGGATTGGAAGCGCTTGTTTTTGACGGAGGTGCGGTTGCAAGAAGAAGTCGAGTGGCAGGTTCAGTGCCTGTGTGGGTGATTATGTGCTATGCATTGGTGGGCCTGCCTCCCTGACCGAGTGATTCTGGAGGCCCTGATCGACGATGAGGAGGAGAGGTGCGAGGGCATCAATCCAGTTCTTGTCTTGGGCAAACGCTTTCTCAGGCAGCGAAGGGTAAAAAATGCCACAAACCAGTAGCGGTATATATCCCAGGGGCGTGCTCGGCCCCCCAACTAGGGGGGTGCACGGGAGCCGAGGGGAGCCCCCCCCCGGCAATTTTCTGCAATTTGTTTGCAACCTTTCTTGAATTTTAGAGCATATTTGCATACATTACAATTGCAATTACCCAGATTGAAAATTGTTGGGGGGTGCACGTGCCCCCCCCCCCCCCCCCCCGTGCCCATCGCCGAGCACGCGCCTCTATCCCGAGGTTACAGTACCAGCCTACACCCTGGACGATTTTTGGCAACATTCCGTCTGTCGACAATCGCGTTTGAGGTTTTGTTGGCGGAGGTATGCAATAGTGACAGCCCCCAGTGGCCGCCTCATTCCACTTTTTTCTTTAGAATCGCCAGAATCGATTCTGCCCCCTTCATTCCGCGACCGGAATCGGAATTGCACGGAACAAACGCTGTCCGGTGCATCAAACAAACGCACCGCAATCAAAGCACAGCGGAATGACTTGTGAATGGTGTCGGAATGACTTCGAACAAACGCAACCTAAGACCAGACCAGAAAAAGACCAGACCAGAATACAACCAGACCGGAATGAGACCAGACCAGAATAAGACCAGACCGTAATAAGACCAGACCAGAATGAGACCAGACCGGAATGAGATCAGACCAGAATGAGACCAGACCGGAATGAGACCAGACCAGAATAAGACCAGACCGGAATAAGACCAGACCAGAATGAGACCAGACCGGAATGAGATCAGACCAGAATGAGACCAGACCGGAATGAGACCAGACCAGAATAAGACCAGAAAAAGACCAAACCAGAATAAGACCAGACCAGAATAAGACCAGACCAGAAAAAGACCAGACCGGAATAAGACCAGACCAGAAAAAGACCAGACCGGAATAAGACCAGACCAGAATGAGACCAGACCGGAATGGGACCAGACCAGAATAAGACCAGACCGGAATGAGATCAGACCAGAATAAGACCAGACCGGAATGAGATCAGACCGGAATAAGACCAGGCCGGAATGAGATCAGACCGTAATGAGATAAGACCGGAATGAGACCAGACCGGAATAAGACCAGACCGGAATGAGACCAGACCGGAATGAGACCAGACCGGAATGAGACCAGACCAGAATGAGACCAGACCGGAATGAGATCAGACCGGAATGAGACCAGACCGGAATGAGACCAGACCGGAATGAGACCAGACCGGAATAAGACCAGACCGGAATGAGACCAGACCGGAATGAGACCAGACCAGCATAAGACCAGACTAGGCTTTCCCCAAATCGGCCCGGTTTTTGTTCGCCTATTTGGCTGTTTGCTCGGTTCAAATATACATCAGATTCGGCTGAACAATCAGCCGATTGTTCGCAAATCGGCTGCAAAA